GACAGGCATGTTCACTTGTATTGGCAAACTATCAAGATAAGAACGAGCCAGTTTGCCACGTTTATATCAAGCCAACATCTAACGCGGCAATTATCTATTCGGAAGATGAAGATGATGCGACCACTGGAACAAGAGTTTTATTGTCCTGACTTTCCGGATTCCGTCGGGAATCCTTAATCATAGCTAATGGTATCATATTCATAGTCATACGCAGAGAGGGTTTAAATATGCATAGGTTGCATGGTATTTATAGTTCATAGTAGTCATCTGTGTGCGCAAGATAACTATTTATTTCTGTAGCCACCGCTTCGGTCTTAATTGGTGCGGCACTAGTTTGATACTTCAGGTTCGACTCATTAATTGCCGTGATTTCCTGGTCCGAGTTGGATGCGGGCTTGGTAATTGAGCGACAATTATGCCCGTTGTCGTCTTAGTTGTTGTGTCTGGGACCGGCCCTGCCCACGTGACTGTTTATTATGCTCAGGCAGTCTCAGTACGCAATATGGGAAAGCCAAATCATTGCGCTTGTTGATGGACTGGGGGCCTGCGAAACATGACTCGAGCAGCTCGTGGCTCACACGGTTGTCACCTCTTGCGAGGATTTTGGCCTTGTCAATTTTCAAAATATGGCCGCCGAGTGAGCTGCAACCTGGGATTTAGCGTCTTTCTTCCTTACCAAGCCCGCATCCCATGCATTCAGCTAATTTGTATGCTTACTTTAGGGGAGGATTACCTATTTTGAAATTTTAATTTGTGCACAGTTTTAATTCAACGTTTTTCTGTTGCGCAGAATGTTTGCACTATATAAACATATCACTGTGGTTTTTGTTCGCAGGCCTATGATGCCGGCTTGATATCGCAAAACACCTTTTGGACTATCATGGATGAGGCCGGTTCAAATATGAATGTTTCGAGCCTCATTACTCGGCTGAATGTATCGGCGGTTGCGTCTGGAAATCCAGTTCACGCTCGACAAAAATCACGACCAAATCTGGCCTTTATAAGACGTTATCCAGTTCTCCGGAATGAGGATTGCTTTGATGCGAAGCTGCCTCTGGACCTTAGATCGCGCATGCGCAGACTTTTTTACTGCAAGTTCGACCACATACCGGTATGGTGCTTTTATTTAGTCACACAATTTGGGTTACTGACTTGGATATAGCAGACAATATAGGTAAGTTGTTAAACGTCTCGATGATGAATTCGCTTTTCCTAGTAATCAACAAAGTCCATGAAGAATCTGTAAATATCTTTTAAATGTGTCCAAACGGGAAGTGTCTGCACAAGACGGCTGACAAAAATGGAAATAAGAAAAAGTACGGGGCAAATATTAAAGTGCAAAACGAACAATTTACATTGTTTTTGAAATCAAACTTGATTAACCAACTCTGAATATTAACCTAAAATTTCATATTTGCTTTACTCGTAGTTCCACGTTTCAAAAGGTACGTTGTGTTTCAGATTACTACATTCGACAAACTACTAAGACAATTAGGTTCAAATTCTTTGTTTATCGCTAACTCTGTATTAACCGGAGGTCTGTACGAAACGCATTTCGGTAACACATTGTTGTCGAAGCACTTGTGCAGGAATCGATAGTGATGTGATTTCCACTGTGACCACGCAATCACAGGAGACGTACACGCTGCGATGAAACTGCGTTCGCCCAGATAAAAAGTCAAATAAGTTGTGAAACTTTAAGGAAAGCCTAAAGAATGGTTTTGAATTCGTGCAATATAACGAAATTTGCGAAAGATTGATACCTTCTCACTAATTGGTATTGAAAAAGGTTGTAATACTGATTATCGTGTAGCCTATTTCCAAGTCATTTCAGTCATGACAAGATGCCGGCTTTTTGAAAAGCTTCATTTTGACTGCGAACAAAAGGTATGAACTGTTAAATATCATCTTTAATAATATGGATTTTTATCATTGATTCCGACTGCTTTCATAAATTCGAATATATTTTAAGGAAAACATACACGAAAAACGTTTTTCCTATATTTTTTAGCAGCAAGTTACGCATTCTTTATATATTAATTTGGATATTAGAACATGTATAATTATGAGATTTTTTACGATTTTTAGGTGTTCATTTATAATATATTGTATCCGTTAATTTATTAATGCCGCCTATGATACATCACATCTATCGCAACATTAATTACAAGAATGTGGCGTTTTTACTCAAATCGTAGGGAAAAAAATTTTTTTCTCAAACAGGATATACACATCGCGTAGTTTGTAGACCCTGAGTTCAAATGTAGCAGTTAGTAGGTTTAAATATTATTCGGCAATTAGTAAACTTTTTATACCGAAAAATTCATTTGCTTTAAGTACAAAATTTAAAGAAGGTGTAATTTTCTACCAAACTGTTACAATAAAGATATTTTATCGTGCACGGCTTTCTTGAAATATATTTGAATTTGTAAATTCAGTCAAGATCAATATTAAAAATGCATATTATGTAAGCAGCCATTCTTACAATACATACGTTTTGTTAGCGGTCAGAAGGAAGCCGATTAGCGAGTGAGTAGCAATCTTTCGCAACTG